TAGGTATGGTCATCTACACTTCAAAGGATTAAAGACGTTGTCCTCAAAGAAGATGGTAACTGGGTTGCCAGATATTACTCCACCAACGGAAATTTGCGAGAGCTGTGTAGTAGCAAAACATGAAAGAAACTCTTTTCCATCCGGAAAATCAAGAAGGGCTCAAGCAATTTTGGAGTTGATTCATTCAGACATATGCGGTCCCATCTCTCCAGCATCAAATGGTAACAAGAAATATTTCATGACCCTCATCGATGATTTTAGTCGAAAAACATGGACTTATTTCTTGCACGCCAAATCAGAAGCCTTTGATTGCTTCAAAAAAATTTGTGCTACTATGAAGACGGAAACTGGAAGAAGAGTCAAGGCTTTAAGAACTGACAGAAGTGGAGAATTCTGCTCAAAAGATTTTATTCAATTTTGTGAAGAGAAGGGCATACGGAGGCAGTTAACAACAGCATATACACCCCAACAAAATGGTGTGGCCAAAAGGAAAAACAAGACCATTCTCAACATGGTTCAAAGTTTACTAAATAAAGGAGAAGTCCCGAAGAAATTCTGGCCAGAAGCTGTTGTGTGGTCCGTTCACATTCTCAACCGGAGCCCTACTTTTTCTGTTAGAGATATGACTCCACAAGAAGCATGGAGTGGAAGAAAACCTACAGTAGACCACTTTAGAATCTTTGGGTGCATAGTGTCACGGTTCTGCATTCTTGACCGTGCGGCGCCGTGATCTATACACGCTCACGACCAGCCTAAGGGGAATTAAGCCTCATTATATTCTTCGCCCCGGCTTGGTGGCTTCGTCGGACCTTAGGCGAGGTTTGTCTTCGCCAATCGAACATCACTTGTGCGGAATCCAAGCTTGTTCAACCACACACGCCGCCTGTGCGTGTATGTTCAATCGTCTGCGACACATCCGACTTGCCTCTACGCTAGGCCAACTCATTTGGCTCGACCTTGCCTCTGCTCGGGCCAAGGTCTCTCAATACATCGTCGCATCTCATCTTGCCATCTCGATCTCCATCGACGGGGTCCATATGTCTTGACGCCATCCTGAGTCTCGAGATGTCGTCGGCCATCATAACTCGTTCGGTCGTGCCATCGAGAATGGGCCCGCGTGTCGTTCATCTCATCGGGGCTTCCCGAACATCCATCCATCCGGGTTCTATCGAGGCATAGGCCCTCCCGTGCCCATGCCGAGTCATTTACGGATACCGTAACGGATAGCGGGTGTATGTAGCAACCTCCAACACGCGGGCTAGGGCGCAATACCGACACACCCGTGCGGTCCGGTACTGTCCTTCAAAACCCATTTCAAAGGAAGTCGCCCCGAGACACTCGTCTCGGCACGCTCGCCCACACTGTGACACACGTATGTGCCACAGGGTAGCGCACTTAGGCCACAGGGCCCAGGGGTGGTGGAGAGCTAACACCATGGTACCCCTATAGTACATTTTGAGCCATTTTCATTCTACCAGGAGTAGACATGATTTTCGTGAGGTGTCATACGGTGTCGTGCATTGTCCGTCCAATGTCCGATTGACACCAAACTTGGCGAGCATTCATATTTCATATGGACGGACTTAACTCCCGAACCGCATGACCAAATTCCTTCTGAAAGCTCAACTTTTGAGGTTAAGGCCCGGGGCCCTACCCGGCCCTTCAACAAGCTTATCTTGTCCTTCATGTCTATGCTGATGTCTCTGTTATGCTTGTGTCTCAACATGTCTTCAATGCCCACTTTGCGTGGTGGTGTATTGGATGATGCATTGTCCTCCTCTATCGCATCATGACATTCTTCTACGTTGGCCCGCATATGGCCGGATGGGCGTCTCTTGAGGGACGCCCCTTTGCTTGTCATGGCGTGAGGGTCACAACCTATTCTCTTCATAGTAAGGTTGTGACACATAGCATATGCACACGTTCCTGATGAGAAAAGGAAGAAACTTGAGGACAAGAGTTTGAAGTATGTGTTTCTTTGAGTAAGCGAGACCTCTAAGGCGTACAAGCTCTACGATCCTTTGACAAAGAAGGTGGTGGTAAGTCGTGATGTAGTCTTTGACGAAAAGAAGACTTGGACATGGGAAGAAAAGATCACTGTGAATCAGCAGATTCCTATAGATCTTGAAGAAGAACAAACTGAAGCCCCTATTCAGCCTCACTATGAGCATGGAGAGAGCTCATCACAAGCTCAACAAGAAGAACCAGTAGAAGAAGATCATGATCATAATCAAAGACATCCAAGAACAAGAAAGAGACCAAACTGGATGATTGATTATGAGATGGACTATGAATCAAGTGATAGTGGTTATTTGGCATTCTTTATGGATCAATGAGATGGACTATGAATCAAGTGATAGTGGTTATTTGGCATTCTTTATGGATCAATGAGATGGACTATGAATCAAGTGATAGTGGTTATTTGGCATTCTTTATGGATAGTGATCCAATTGTCTATGAAGAAGCAGTAAAGGAGAAGAAATGGAAGGAAGCTATGGACAGTAAAATCAAATCCATAGAGAAGAACAAGACTTGGGAGCTCACTGATCTTCCTAGAGGGCAGAAAACAATTAGAGTAAAATGGGTTTTCAAAACCAAGTTGAATGAAAACGGTGAGGTGGATAAGTACAAGGCGCGACTTGTTGCAAAAGAATACAAGCAAAAGTATGGAATTGATTATAAGGAGGTATTTGCATTAGTGGCACATCAAGACACTATCAGGCTCATAATTTCTATTGCAGCACAGAAATCTTGGCCTATTTATCAACTTGATGTGAAATCGGCCTTCTTACATGGAGAGCTTTAAGAAGAAGTATATGTGGAGCAACCAGAAGGTTTTGTTCAAAAAGGCAAAGAGGAACAAGTATACAAGTTGAAGAAAGCTTTGTACGGTTTGAAGCAAGCTCCGAGGGCATGGTACAGTCGCATTGATTCTCATTTTGAAAAGATGGGATTCACTAAATGCCCGTATAAACATACATTGTATGTGAAAACTGAAAAGGGAGATCTTGGCTTGATGAGATATTTTCTTGGAGTAGAAGTTACTCAAACTCCCGCAGGTAACTTTATCTGTCAGAAGAAGTATGCTCAAGAATTACTTGAAAGATTTAAATTGGATGAGCGCACATTTGGAACTCCATCAGAATTGGGTTTAAAGTTGCACAAAGATATTGAAGGGCGAGAGGTGGATAATAGGTACTTCAAACAAATTGTGGGAAGTTTGATGTACCTAACTTCAACAAGACCAGACGTCATGTATGTGGTTAGTATGATAAGCCATTACATGGAGCATCCAACGGAAAACACATCTCAATGCAGCAAGAAGGATACTTCGTTATGTGAGAGGAACCTTTGATTTGGGGGTATTTTACAAGAAAGGAGATGATCCGAAGATGGTTGGCTATACAGATAGCGACTATGCAGGTGATATAGACGATCGTAAAAGTACTTCAGGAAGTATTTTCATGATGAGTTCAGGAGCTATTTGCTGGTCTTCAAAGAAGCAACCTATTGTAACACTCTCAACTACAGAAGCAGAATTTGTGGCAGCAGCAGCATGCTCGTGCCAAGCAATTTGGTTAAGAAAAATGCTTGAAATTCTTAATCAGAAGCAACCAAGTACGACGGTTATATATTGTGATAATATGTCAACTATTAAGTTGTCTAAAAATCCTGTGTTGCATGGAAGGAGCAAGCACATCGATGTTCGATTTCATTTTTTGCATGATTTGTGTAAATAAGGCATTATTGAACTCAACTTTTGCCGAAGTGATGAACAAATCGCAGACCTATTCACAAAGCCCTTGAAACAACCATTGTTCGAGAAGCTTAGAAGAAAGATGGGGATGTGCAGAATCCAAGATGTATATCAAGAAGATGAAGTGAAGTCCTAAACTGATTTCCGCAGAATTCAGTTCAAGGGAGGGTGTTAAAGCTCATAATAGAAGTTTGAATTAGTTACTACGGAAGAGAAGGAGGAGGTGAATTCAATTTCATCCACAAAAATTTCAACCAACACCGGGAATCCCCTATTAAAGGACCTCCCTCCCCATCATTCAAATCACTCCTCCTCTCAATCTCACTTCAGTTTTCTGTTGTCGCCAACATTGCTTTTATCTTTTTAGTCACGATTCGTTTTTTTCGAAGCCTCAAAAAATTGGATCGTGACAGCCATTCTCGTAAACAATGATAATTGTTGTTATTAAATTTTGTTGATATAGATAGACATAAGTGAACAAGAGTGTGGTGTCAAACTACTTCCCCCTTAATGCTCAAGTCAATAATTGAGGTAGAAATGGGTGCTTTTTAGACGCTTGTTATGTCCATAAGGTGGTCTAGAAACTATAGTCATTAAAGTGTTATAATCTTGTAGTGATTCCCGGAAAAGATTACAAGGTTGGAACATTACTCTATTCATCCATTCCTCAAATAGATCTTGTTGGAACATTACAAGGTTGGGATCGGTCATATTGCCCTTGGCAATCTCCATGGGAGTCAACCTCAAGGGCCTCAACCTTAGCCCACATTTGAGTTACATTCTTTGAATTCACTTGTTGACCCTTGGGGTTTTACACTTAAGAGCGCTCATCCTAGTCAATAATTTCACTAATATCAAGTGATATTATTAAAAAATGATTGAAAAAACAAATAAATTTTTAAAAATTTAATCCTTATCAAATTTTAAATTTGAACTATGATTTTGAAATAAGTAAATAGTGCACACAATTTCAAAACATAGACATGACAAAATAAAATTACCAGCATGCACATCGCATGCCTGAATCTAAGATCAACAAAACTTACATTTGATGGTGAATTAATACGGATGAAGATCATCAATACAACTCTTAATTTTGAAAACCTAAACTGAAATGGATGTAAATGAGTGCTTCAAAGTATAAATGTGAAACAACAATTCAATTTACCAATGTAAAAAGAGACTGGCAGGTTCAAATACTCTTATCTCAAACTTAAAACTCAAGGAAATTGATATATAAAGGTAGGTAAATAAAAGGATAGGTGGACAAGAATGGCCATTTATTAATGAAGTTCAGAATGGAAGAAAAGACCCAAAAAGTCCATATATTAACGAAGTTCACCCTTTAGCCAAGCAGCCATTAATTCATTCAGCGGCTGAGTAAATCTCAACAAAGGAATATCTTTTAGTAGAATTTTGTGCCAAAAACGTGAGGCGCATACCTTTTTTGAAGACCCGAATAAAGCCAAGTCACTGCAGATTTGATGATGGTATCGTACACATCTAAACTGTAAAAGAATAGTGTTACAAAGGAAGGTAAATGAAAAACCCAGATACCTCTTTCTTCTTCATCCTTCTTCTTTCAGCAGGTCCAAGATGATGATCTCTTGATCAGTGGTTTCATTTGCTTGTCCTCTTCAAGTGAAATCATTCCCAAGTGTGATGGATCTTCCAACATCATCTTTGCAACTAAGTATCCTGCTATGGACCACGTCTGATATTTCCTCGCTTGTTTTCCTACATATCTTCCAAACTTTCCATCATAGTATTCCGGCCAACCATCCTTCAGCAAACGACTCTCCGTCAGCTCAATCGCTCTTCTTGCAATCTGTGGTCGTCCAGTTTTTATGCACGCTGCTGTTAGCAGCCATAGTAGCACTGGATCCACAGCAAGGAGGAACATGATATTAACATCAAAATGGGGTAATGAATTGATATGGTTTCTCGTTATAAAGTTGAAGAGAAATATGAGGGAATGAACAAACCTGGCCAAGATCCACCATTATGGTAACTCCACCTGGTATTCTTTGGATCACAACCAGTAATAATTCGCCATTCATGGCTTTCAATGGCAGGATATGATATTTTCAAAGGCATTTCTCCAACCAGCTCCTCCCAGCGTGATTCAATAAGATCCATAATAGCCATGGACTGCTCAGGGGTGGCAAGAGAAGACAGAATTGCAACACAATTACCTAATGCAAACCATCTAAAATCCATTCTTGCAGGACTGACGTTACCAACAAAGTACCCACCACGTTTGGGCATAAAATCAAACACCCAATCTGGGATTGAATCGGGGATGACATTGAACTTATTTACAGCTGTATGAGAATATTCTTCAGTTTTATAACGGTAGATGTCATTTAGTTGCTGGAAGTCAAGCCAGAAATAACTCCGCATGTGATAACTTAACGCATGCAAACGCTTCACAATGCGCTCTATGCATTCTTTTCCTTCAGCATCATGTTTCAGCATAGCCAGAGCACATCTCAAGGCCATAAAGAAAAGGGCTTGAATTTCAATAGGATAACCATATATACCCTGAAAATAAAAGCACATATAAATGTAATGAAAAACATGTAATTGTAATTTCAATAGGATAATCAAATTATAATCACATAATATGAAATGAAAAACATGTAAATGTAAGTTTATAACAAGCAGAAAATATAAAGAAATTTTACCATTCTTCGATCGATCATGGAGCATCCATCAGCACAAAGTAAAGTTGGGAATGTATCAAACCCCTCTGACAGACATAAAGTTAAAATAAGCCTCATTCCCTTCTGACACTCTGGTGTTTCAGCCAGAGATAGATCACCAGTTGACTTGGTATATGCACGGAGCAGAATGATCCACCAGAATCCAGAGTCGACAGGAGCCACTCTTCCAATAGCACTCTCTCCAAAGTCAGCAGCTATGGTATCTGTTTTTCTAACAGGATCATGAAGAACCTTAAAGCTAGCAGGCATTGCACCTTCCCCAAGCTTGAATCTGTCTATTTTCTTTTCCCATCCCTGAAGCTGGAGAGTCTTTAACAGGAAATTCTTAACTATTTCCGGCTCTCCATTCATCAGAAAAGCCAGAGCACTGGGTACAAAATCCCTAACAAAAACCTGAGAGAAAAGCAACATAACCAAACATTAGATTGTCTCTAACAGTTCTTTTCACAAACTGTAAATATCCAAAATCATTTTCGAATACTTTTACTGGATGCATATCCATTGACCTGATCATAGTTCAAAACTTCCTCTGAGGCATGGTCATATGCTGCAATAGTTCCAACTGGTTGGCCACGAAAATACACCAAGGATCTCCGCAAAGCTTCCCATGCTTCACCAATCATTGGGTGGGTCTCAAATGTGTTTCTAGTAGATGAAGCAGGGGTATCAAATCCTGACCTTCCACCAGGTGAATACGAGCTCTCAAAGTTGTCCAAACCTCCCCGAGCAAGGCCGATGGACAACTCGCTGAGAGACCGATCGTCAAATGATCTTTGCCTCTCAATATTGAGCTTAGGTTTGTCAAGAAGCCGAGACAGATCATAATCATCCATCTCAGAGATCGAGCAATGTGAGCTCACATTTCGAAGTCCCAACCCATCCATTTCCCTTTTCCTCTAAATGATCCAGACAAGAAATACCTGCGTTATGAACAGATATTTACAATTAGTCATTCATTAACCACAACCGTTTGTAGTGCACAACAATATTTAAAAGAATCGAAGGTCAATCCTTCAATTTTTTAATTTAAACGGAAACGTAAAGTCGATGGTACAGAAAAAGGAAACCCGGCTTTCTATCCTGCACGGAGTAAAATACAGGAAGGTTTAAACATAAAAAAACCCGTGACTCGCAGAAGGAAACGAAAAGCCAAATATATAACGTCCAAAAGCATCGAAGGAAAGTGGACAGATATAGAAATGTTCATTAATTACTAGGAAGTTGATTTGCCAAAACTTAAAATTCTCAATCATATTACAAGATATTCTACATATCAAATCATTTCAAACCCTTTCAGCAAGACACAAGAGTAAAATCCAACAAGCATTTTAATATGTAAATACACACATAAGGTCCATCGCCACGAACGTATGAACTAATCAACTAGCAAAATAAGAAATCACAAGTAAATCACATAGAAAAACAAGGAGAAATGAACAAAAAACAAAACAAGTCGAAGAAAATATCCTGGAGAAAGCTTTGATGATAGCAGATCAAGAACACGATCAAGCAAAACATGGACTCGAAAGCAGAGAGAAGAGAGCATGAAAAACAATATCCACAAAGAACACCACAACAAGAGAGTGAAATTCAAAGAGGTGGAAAAAACAGAGGGTAGGCAGACATCCATTCAATGGCACCAAAACCGCCAGATCTGAAGCTCTACTCAGCCACAACAAACAACAACAACCACAAAACAAGGAATCAGAGCGAGAGAAAGAGAGAGGAAGAGAGAATACCAGAGAGAGCAGAAGAGAGGAAGGCGGAGGAATAAGAGTGAAAGTCGGCGCTCTCGCCGGGAAATCCTCGCCGGAGAAGGAAGAAACTAGGAGAGAGAGAGTAGGGAAAAAAATAAGGAAAAAGGAGAAAAAAAAATCCGCAGTTGTCAACAGCTGGTATTTATATAGCTGAAGAAGCGGGAAGGGGAAGCCAATGTGTGTATCTCTCTCCCTAATCCAATTCCACAGATGTTAAGAGAGAGAGAGAGAGAGAGAGAGGTTACTTGGAAACGGGAACTGCCGGTGACCTTAGTCCGACGTGGACAAAAACGACGCAGTTTTGAGGGTTCCGTCTGACAAGTGTGTCGAGGCAGAATAAATAATTAACAATTAAAATGAAAAACGCAGCCTAAATTGATGGTGGGGATTATATAAAGAGAAGGGATGCTTATTTATAGGAGAAATGAAGCGCCTGATTTTTGACCAAATCAAAAGTAACGGGTAGGTGGCCATAAAATTGTCTCTTTCCTATTTCTTTTTTTTTTTAATTCCAATTAAAATTCCATTTCTCTTACCTAAGTGGACTCCCAAGTCTTTTTTTTTTTTTTTTTTTTAATTATTACTATTTAGTTTTTTTATATAAATAAAAAAAAATAGTAAAATTAGCAATCTAGTAATTGCTTTTAAATAAGTGAATAATGACTTAGCTATTATGTCGATAATAAGTTTATTTAATTAAAATTAAAAAAAATAACAAATAAATATAATTCCTAATTTACGTTTCTCTAATCCATTTTTGTTAGGAAATAAATATTTAAAGCAACCATTAATACACATTACGGAATTTCCCCTTAATATCCCTTCATTTCCTTGTTTATGGGCCAAATTTATGAGCATTCTAATAATGAATAAATATTCATTAATTAACGTGCATAATCTTATTTATTTATACCAAATATATATATATATATATATATGTATTTTTTTTTTTTTTGGAATAAAGGAATTTCATAGAAATGTAAATAAAGTCTAGAAAGTAAGTGATAACATTGGAAATGGTTAGACCAATACTACTCTCCACAATGGTATGATAAGCATTGGGCTTCCCCAAAAGGCCTCACATCAATGGAGTTAGTATTTCTCACTTATAAACCTACAATCATTCCCTAAATTAACCGATGTGGAACTTCAATCGTCCAACAGAAACAACCAACAAGACAGAAAGGAGAAACAAAATAGAAGGAAGAGAGAGAATTATATGAATCATGTTTTGCTAGTCGTGAATAGGGATGTTCGTGGGATAATGACTTTTTCGTTTATCTAATCTACATAATTTTTCATTAAATTTTGTGGAAAAAAGATGTGATTCTGTCTCATTTATATTTTTCATCTAGAATCCAGAATATATGTTTTTTTTTCCATAAAATTGTATTACAAAAGTCATACTTTGCTTTATATAAGCTTGGTTGCATTGACTTGCAATTTTACCCTGAGATAAACATGTTAAGAATAAACCTTCAAAGGCGTCTATTTGATAAAATTATTATAAAATATAAAATTAAAAAAAAAATACTTTTATTTGAAAGTTTTAAATAGAGAATTGAGGAATTAGATTTTTTAGATTAGAGAGATTTTAATGGAATTAGATTCTCAAATTTTAATATATTGTTCTTGAGAGGATTTCGTGCAACTTCTGTGAAAGAAACTGGAGTTGAATTGGACCAGAAGGTAGAGTTCCAATGAGCCTCAAGAATGGTGAATTTTCTAATTTCGAACCTATTCTCGTCCCATTTATTTCTCTCCATAATTAACAAATGGAACAAAAATAATTTTGATAAAAAGAATGATTTAACTCCACAACTTTTGGTGAAGGAAGAAAGTTTTTTCCGGTAGAAACATATACAAAAATCCAAATAAATTAGAAAAAGGTATGAAAATCACATAAAATATTTGCAAAACGCGAGGAAGATGAATCATGGGATGACACATGTCTCACAAAGAGGGAGCGAGCGCGTTCGGTCAGACATTGGGTGGTGTTATGCAACTGGTAAAGGATGGATGTGTGTTAATGGCTGGTTGGTGAGCACAATCTGCGAAACCGATCCGACCCAAAAATCGAACAGTGAATCGCTCTGGACAGAACCGATTGAACTAACCTGGGCAATCCACATCTCAACTTTACCCGAAACAGAAGCGCCAATTAAGAACGACATTTGACGTAACTAGAGTATGACTACTTCCACTTAGGCACATCCAAACTCGCGTGTGGGATGCATGCATGGAAGCTCATTAGTCGTGGGTTGCAGCGCTTTAGAGCATGTGAGTTTGCTATTTTGTCCCATTTCGGCTCTTGTTTATCAGTTTTTCGCCTCAATTTTAATCCTAACCTTAATTTCACTTGAATTAGAATGTTTTAGAGAAATTTTATAAAGTTTAGAGCCCTAAACATGCATAAAAGTTAGCTCAAAATGGCACGCATCATCCATTTAAGTAGCTATTCAAACTTTTCTCAAAGTAGTACTTATATACGGATTGTTTTGATCTATTAGCATGCAAACATGTCTTGCTCGGGGTGGTTAGAATATACATAATTAGGACTTTAGATGGGTAATTTGGATGAGAACGTTATGTATGTTAAGAAAAAAATATTAAAATATCCTTCGGATGTGTAACAACTCAAAATTTTCTACTTAATCTAAGGTTGTTACTATATGTCTATCATGAACATTGAATGCAGACATACTTATCTATTTATTCTTTAACATAAACTCAACCTTAAATTTTGCCGGCTTTATTTTTTACCATGGCATAAAACTAATATACAAAAAATAAAGAAACAAAAAATAATATAGAATAAAACGTCTATACTAGCCTATATGCTACTAGACGGAAATACAACTCAACCTATACTAACCTATACTATTAAATGAAAATGAAATTCAACCTATCCTAACCTATGATCTACTAAATGAAAATACAAATCAACCTATACTACTAAGTTAAATGAATTTATCCTATGCATGTGCCACAGTTTCGGGATTGCGATGTCGTCATCAACCTTAGAAGAATGTCTTACCTTAACCTGAAATAGAAATAGCACGAGGCTTGAGTATTTAAAAATACTTAGTAAGCGACCCCCTATCGAGATTATAATGCAAGAACATGTGAATGCGTGCATGAGACCTATCATATCAGTCTATTTTCCTACAACGGCTATCCTAAGGGTCAGCTTGGATGTGTAATTAATTTCCAACACACGACCCACACATGCGAGTATGAACCCACCAGTCGATTCGCACACCTCCTAGGTCCCCTTTTCTTGTCGAGCAAGCATTCTCTAGTAGCTTTTGGTGCCAGACACCTGTTAGGAGTAGCGGCCGTCACGACAGCATTATGTCAAATATAATAATTGTCGTACTATCACGAAGGAATAGGGGTATCCCCCAATGCATGAGCACACAATAATGCATAATCTCTCCTTTGTCACACTATTCAGAAGTTTGTTTTCCACTTTTTTTCTTCCGTTCCTCGTTGTTTTTCCTTCCTCTTCAATCCTTACGTGCCTTTATGGATGGTAAACGCCTGAAAGGTATAGATCCACGAGGTTCTTTTTTTTTTTTTTTTAAAGAAAAGTGTTCTCCTTTCCGACGATGAACGATCCGAATGGGGTGCGAAAACTTACCCTTTACATGTGTACAGTCTTCAGTGATCCCTTTCGTGGTAGAACTTGGAGGGTTTGGCATCGATCTTGTATGGTTTTGCCTGAGTTTTGAATCTCTCCTCTCTCTCTCTCTTTTGGTTTCTCTGTTTGTTTCTCGATTTTTCCTTGCAAGTGACTCTCTGGAGGATAGCAAATGTTCGTGGGTTGAATTTGGCAATGTGGGAGTGTCAGGTGGAGGTGAGACCGAGCTGGGTGTGCGTCTTTGCCGGCGATCGTGCAATTTTTTTTTCGTATCGTTTCAGGATGAGAATTTATGATGCATGCCAACTTTAATGCTTGTGTTAGAATAGACGATGAGATATTGTGATCTATGCTCCCAGTGATTAATGGATATTAGCTCCTAGTTGAGTTTGTATATATCACAATATAGCATGTTTAGTTCCATGTGATTAATTGTGTGTTCCTCTTATAGAGCGTGTTTATCAACACAAAGCTAGGATTAGGGTGCTAGGGCTGGTCGACTAGACGATGACTTAGGTCAGGAAGCCTTCAATAAATTGAACACCCTAAGAGCATGGTGGCGATCAAGAGGTCTAGACCCTAGTGGTCCCAAACTTATAAAGACTTGAAGAGTCAGAACAAAATACCCTGGAATCAAAAGTTCGCATTAATCATTCCCTATGTATGATACACTGATTATGTGTCTCTTTATGTTTAATGTGTCTCTTTATGTTCATGTTATTAGGTTATTACGGATTATTAGAGGGTTGCCAACAAACGTCCGGTAACAAACAAACTCCAGTAACAAACTATTTGTATTGATAGAGTTCATATTGTATTTCAGTAGTTGCTATTATCAATTTACTTTATGAGTACTATTAAAGACTCATCAACTAAGCACTAATAGTGAACTATCTAGATTGACATAGTCACATATATATCTCAGTGGTTGTTTGCACTGTGTCATTCCACTTATGTTTATGATACGAGGATACTATGTGAGAATTATTAAAGGGTCGCCAACTCTTTAGTAATGAACTATATAAATGACCAAGATCAACATTATATTTGGATAGTTGGTTCAGTTATAAGGTCACATCACCATATATTTAGTATGATTCTCATGGTGTACGACAAGAGCGTTCAATGGAGCAATTGTGATATACCAGAGTCTTGTCTTAGATCCTATCAAGCGTGCAAGTGTGGCTCATCTCTTCAACTCATCTTCGTTTTTTATATAAATAATTTTGTATTTATTGAATATAAAATGTTATGCTAACTTAATATTTTTACGAGATTCTAAAATTTTAAAGATAAAGTTGTTTCGAGCAGGTTATCGAATTTATATGTTTTCTTTATATCTAAAGTTGTACAATGATATTCCAATTTTGAAAGAATCTTTTGTTAGCAATTTTTACTAAAATTTGCTATAAATTGACAAGTTGAAGATTGAGTTGAAACCCACAACATATTAGAGATAAGACAAAGCCGAAGCAGAATAAATTATACATCATGTCACACTAGAGGGTATTTCTGTAATTTGGAATACCCATGAGTCAACGCAAGACATTTTTTAAATAAAGAAGTAAAAATATATTATTGGTAATTGTCTCCACTTTATATAGATTTTAAGGACATAAATTAATGATTTAAAGCAATAAAATAATTAATTCCACGTAAGCGCCAAGTCATTGGAGAGATTAATTAATATAATAGCTTATCTGGTGATGCATGAGTATCATGCTTCTCAATGTAATA